ACCTGCAAAGTGTTTTGGCGCCAGCCGCTGTCACTTCAGCTGCAGCTGAAATCTGACAGCGTCAGCACAGACTAGATGCTGAAGGTCTTAATATCCCAACCTCCGCTATCTCGCGCTCTTTCCCCACCCTCGGAAACCCCTTTGAGCCTGTCAGATCACGCTACATAGAATTCAAACACAGCGACTTGTATCTGCCAGCCAGAGCGCTCCTCCCCTTCCCTCCCCCCGAATCCTTTGTTTCTTTGAAAGCACAATTCTTTATAAAGGAGAAACAAAAAGATGACTATTTACTCGGCTGAAGGTTCCCTGTTGATTTCTTAGTTTTTCGAGCACATAAATATATGTTCAAACATCGCTTGCATTGCCCTTTGGGGGCAGGTGCTTTGTCTTTTAAGACAAAACTTTCTCCAAGGTCTGGATTCAGAATAAGGGATGAAGGCCCTGACCCTGCAAACTGATCTGAGCAGATGCCCATGAAAATCCCAACTAGCTTCAAAGAGGCTCCATGCACCTCTGATCGTGTATTTGCATGGATCAAATTGTATGAATGGGGCCTGAGTTTGGACAAATAGCCTGATGGCTCTCAATTAAAAGCAATGCAAAATCCCTTGCAGAACTTCCTAGCACAGAATTCCTTGCTCTCTCTCTAATGATGACTGTAAACTGGGATTTGTACTGATTTTTACCACAGAGCTTTGGAAAGTCACACACAGAGGTGAAGGTAAGAGAAAATCTAGTTTTATCAATATATGTATCAAATTCATGGTCATCTATTGTTTGGGCGTCCCAGTTCTCACCCTGGACATTTGGAATATCACGACATCACCAGGGACTAGAACTCAGATCCTTCTTCCAGCCCCAAAAGCACAAGGTTCTATCACTTGTTAAAGGAGAATCTCCCTAAGTGCTAAGCAGTAAAAGTCCTATGACACACAGGTGGGCAACATAGATCCCATCCAGTGATGTACATGTTTTTTTGCAATATAGTGTCATAGCAGCTACAATCAGCTGCCGTGCACTTAGCCTCTGTCCCCAGGGCTGCTATCCCAGGAGAATTCTCAGAGCTGTGAAATTCACTCCATCTTTTCGGCCTCCAGGGCCCAAGTTTGGTGGCCGTGGCAATGGAGCCAGCAGGGCACCAGGCCCTGACTTCAGAATCTGAAGGGTGAGAAGGATTTCTTAATGTTTCGGAGGATCTGCTGGGTCTAAAATAATCCTCACACGTTTATTGTTATTATTATTTTATTTTACTTTATTGCGCTATTTATTTATTTATTTGTTAGTCTTACAGGAGGCCGAGAGGCCTCATTTGGGATTAATGCGCCACTGTGCTAGGCGCTTGCATGCACAGTGTAAGAGAGACCCTTCCCTGGAGCTGAAATAGGCAAGAGAGAGGGCGGTTGGGAGGGGAGGCAGATGCAGAGAGATTAAATGACTTGCCTGGAGTCACACACAGCAGGGTGGTGACAGCTGGGAAGGGAACCCAGCTCTCTAGGGGCCCTGTCCAGTGTCTTCCCACGAAAGAACGCTGCCCGGAACCACGGTTTTTAACTGTCCAGATTTCCCCCATTTTCGGAGGCATGCACCGAGTCCATTGCCTGCTCCACAGCTCTCCCTGCGGTCTAGGTCAGTGGTCACCAACCAGTAGATCAGGGTCTACCGGTCGATCTTGGAGCCTCTGACAGGTGATCCTGACTGGTTTGGCTGAGAAGCTATCAGGTACCAGCACCTCAACTGTTCCTCCTCACCTGCCCTGCTATTCATGCCCAGAGCCTCAGAGCTGCCCTCTGGGAGCCTCCTGCTTGTGCAGAGTCGGGGAGACAGAGGCAGGGGGGTGCTGATGTCACTCTGTCCCCCTCCCCTGTACCCCGTCTTCCCAGAGTAAGCAGGGCAGGGCCTCAGCAAAGAGGTGGGGCAGGGGCAGGGGCTCGG